TCTCTCTCTCTCTCTCTCTCTCTCCCTCTCTCTCTCTCTCTCTCTCTCTCTCTCTCTCTCATTGCATTGCGGATGCCCGTTAGAATCCCCAACAAAATTTAGAAAAAGAGAGAGAGCGAGGCAAATAAATTACGTGTTAGGTTTAGGAAAAATAGGATTCCCCCCTCTTCGGGGTCGGTTAGGAACGAGTTAAATAGGGTGAGGTTAGTGAAGGTTAGGATTATCCCCCTTCGGGGTGGCTTAGAAATTTTAGGGTTAAGATTAAGGTAAGTCTCAGGATCGGGTTAGGTCCGGCGAAAACAAATAAAAAACCCCAAAGAATACTATAAAATAAAGCCTCGAAAGGAATTCCCAAAAAAGGTATTATCCGCGCTGCTCAGGGGGTCGGTTATGGAGAGAGGGATGGATCCTGAAAGATGAGAGAGGCCCTCACCTCGGCGTTCCACGCAACAAGAGACCAAGAGATATTCTCGGCTCGGTGTCCCAAACAAGACTCTCTTAATTGATTTTTTGAATTCCTCGAAATATTTACAAAAACATTTGTAAAGGATGACTCAACCGAAAATTCTCGAATGCGATGTCTAATGCGCAGTTCAATCGTGTCGAACAATGGAAATTTTTCATACGAGGCGCGATGTTCTCCAACGGATATTTTCCGTAAAAATGGCTCTACAGGCAGGAATTGAGCATTAGCTAATTAATAATTACAAGTCGCAGGAACGACCCTGACACATACTCGTGACGCGAAATGCGCAAAATTAAATGGGAATGCATGAGAATGCTCATCCCAAGTCCTCCTCCTGGTCGCCAAGCTGTTTCTCAGAAAAATCTCCGACTCCTTCTCTCCTCTTTGGTCTCTAAATATTTTTCACACCTCTCGCTAACTCCTCAGCACACAAGGAATCCTCCCAAAACTCGTAAGTAACACCAAAACCACTAATCTTCTGCACGCACCCGTACCTCTAGTTATGTCAACAACGAATTGGCGGTTTCGCCGCATGGCGGGCGGGAACGCGGTTAGCGCCCCGTCTCCCAACTAAACCATAGTAATTTTTAATTTTCTAGCGCAGGAAAATATAAAATACGGCAAAACTGCAATTAAATTACTCCCAAAAGGATGAACGGTTTTTCTCATCAAATGCTTTCTTTTTAACAAAAGGTGCGTATTTAGGATGATTGTCTCACGGAATCCCGGAACCCGAACGAATAAAATTACATGAATTCTAATCCCCCCCCCC